TAGGTTGCGGTCACCGGTGACCGCTTGGTGTTTGACAGTTTAAAAAGAGAAAGGGGATCTCAATTTTCGGCAATATGTTACCTAGTTTGTATAACTTTTCGTATTACAATTGGCTAATCAAATTTAATTATTTTTCCGAACTTTTAAAAACGACAATTTTCTATGATTTTGTACGATATTGTGTATTGTGACGTCACGTATTTTTAGCGTCAAATAGGTTACTTCTTTATTAAAAATTTGGTGGAAAATTATTAAAATTGATCATAAAAACAGTTAATGAAAGTTTATTGTGATTATTTTATAACATTTTATTGTATTGAACAGTCGAAATAATTTATTTTTGATTAAGGCAAGTAGCCAATTATGTGTTCATAATCAGTTTTCTAAGTTAGGGTTTGATATTGGAAGGGCTTGTTAGTTTCACCATAATGCCATCAATTTATTAGGGTCATAGATCTCCTTCTTTTTTAATCGATAATAATTTGACTTATAATTTATTTAATGTACTATATCTACGTTCTACAAAAAGTATTGAACTTACTTTGACTTTTATTATACTATACAAGGACGTTGAAAAAAACTGGACGTAACGTCACTTAGAAATGATTGAAGCACCAAAATGTCAGTTGTGTATTTATGTGTGCGTGTACTTGCAATACCGTAATGTATGACGTGTAATGACGGGCCATGTCATACGACAGAGGTCCTTCGTGTGAGTTCAGAATGTGTGTGTATTCTGCGTGTAAGTCTATAGTAGTCAGGTGCCACAGTCGTTGTTTCAAGAGACTATGTCCGCGTTTTTTTCGACGTCCTTGATACACTATCATCAACAGCCTATAAATGCCCACTGCTGAGCAAAGCCTCTTCTCACACGGAGAAGATTAGAGCATTAATCACCACGCTTGCTCAATGCGGGTTGGCGATTTCAAACTTATAATTAGAAATTATAAGTTCAGGTTTCCTCACGATGTTTTTCCTTCACCGTTTGTCAGTGGTGTCTAAATAATCTTAGAATGTACATATAACTCGGAAAAAGTCACATTGGTACTTGCCGTTGGTAGGTTTCGAACCCGCACCCTCATGCATGAGAAGTGGGCGTCTTAAACCTCCGGGCCACCACGACATGATACACTATACTTGATACACTATACTTACAGGTAATTCTTTTATTTTACCTTTTTCTTTATTTATTGGTTCACCAACAATTGTTCGCAGTAGTTCTTTTAATACCATATTTAACATGTTCACATTATGACGCCATTAACAGCTGTCCGATACAAATGGAGTAACATTATCAACTGTCGATAATTTTGTATGTTTTAATTAACTCCTTAGTCACTATCGTGTTTTATCGATATTGTTGCAATCCTCTCTGGGTCAGAGCAATTTATTATTAAATATAAATAGGTATAGTACTGTTATCGCTATCGAAGTAGGTATGTATGTATCACTATTAGCTGGTTATCAATTTTTAGTTTTGTCGAAATATTTTTTGGTCACAAATTTTTGCGAGACGTATCTGGAACGTTTCAGTGACGTATTGTACCGAATTTTGGACTAGTTTCATAATTTGTAGTTAATTAGGACTAGGTTAGAGTGGCAGTGGCCAGAAACTGGCTGATGATGATGATGGTAATGAGACACGAACTGAATCCTAACAATCATCAAATTCCCAATTCCCAAAAGGCCGGTAACGCACTTGTAACGCCTTTAGTGTTTCGGGTGTCTATGGGCGACGCCGATTGCTTATCATCAGATGATCCGTCTGCTCTTTTACCGGCTTATGCCATAAAAAATAACTTTGATGCGTCATAAACTTAGTAGTGGCAATCCTAATTATACAATCCTGTGACTCCTCTGGTGTTGCGGGTGTCCATGGGCGGCGCTGATCGCTTACCATCAGGTGATCCGTCTGCTCGTTTGCCTCCTATTCCATAAAAAAACATGTCTTATGTATTGAATGGTCAATTACTAAAGTATTGTATATTTTTTGAAAGGTAGACAATGTTTATTATACTTATATTTTTGAGCAAAAAAATTGCTCAATAAACGTTATTTGCTTCATAGCAGTGAAAGTTGCACAAATGAAGTCTTGAAACCAAGTACTGTTAACATTTGTGCGTCTTAACATACAATACAATGTTCAAGTTAACCTGGAAAGGACAAGTTACATAACTTAAACGTCACTAGGTTTTAATCGAAAGTTGTTTTTTTATAGTTAACCGATTTCTAACCACAGCTAATTACTATCGCTATTCAAATTGCTATAGTAACTGTATGTGTAAATGTTAGTTGCTATTTATAGAAATATTCCGTAAACCATATTGAATGGATTAAGTTGAGGTATATAGACGTAGAAATAATTTCTAAAATTGTAGATTATTTCTGGTTGACTGTCTATGTGTGTTGGAACGATTACGATGTTAGATTACTCAGCTTTTTAATCGGTGCTGTATTTCGATAGCGTATAGTTTTATGTCCGTTTGGAATTATTCTAGTATTTTTTTTATGGTTTAAGCCGGTAAACGAGCAGACGGATCACCTGATGGTAAGCAATCAGCGTCGCCCATGGACACCTGGAACACCAGAGGCGTTACAATTGCGTTACCGGCCTTTTGGGGAATTAGGAGTTTGATTCAGGAATTGGGGATATTGGGGAAGGGGAGGGTAATTGGGCTTCCGGTAACCTCACTCACACAACGCAAGCGTAGCTTCACGCTGGTTGTTTGTGAGACCGTGATATCACTCCGGTTGAGCCGGCCCATTCGTGCTGAAGCATGGAAATGAGCTGGAGTGTGAATGGCCATAATCGCAATATAAGATTTTTGATATAAGAGCTCTACTACCTTTTCTTTAACAATGAAACTATAAAACACTGCCCTATTTTGATGTATTTATAGGTCATGGAAACATCTGAATTAAAGTGATAAGCCTAGATTTATTTAAGCCTCACTTTCCTAACTACTCTGTATCTTAAGTACCATCCTACTTATGAGAACACTACTACATATTTAAGTTACCTAAGTCCTGATTTCAACATAGGTACGTTACAAGAGAATGTTCTAACTTCGGCCTGATTGAAGTGTGACCATTTACTAAATGATAATGGACGGTATAGTTAGCGCATTTAATTAGATTGTCGCCTATCTGGAGTCATGCAGTCACGCTCTCTCACCCGAGATGGTAAAGGCTGCACGTGCCTTTGATAAATAAGTCAAGCGCCGAGAAGTATTCAACATTTTAGAAACATTGCGGAAGATATTATAGTATCTCTCAGTTGCCTCGTTGGCCGAGTGGTCGCAAGTGCGACTGCCGGGCAAGGGGTCTCAGGTTTGATTCCCGGGTCGGGCAAAGTATTACTGGGTTTTTAAAAAATTCTCAGTAGTAGCACGGAGTTTGGAAATGTGTCCAGTATATGGCAATAGGCTCACCTATTATTATATGGGGACTCATAACATAAATAGTGAAAAGTGGGTGTAACTTCTGTGTGCACTTCTGTCTACCCCTTCGGGGATAAAAGGCGTGATGTTATGTTATGTTATGCAGTCTGCAAAAATATGCCACAACTGGGCAAAAGTCTTTTCTCATACGGAGAATGAGCATTGATCAAGATTCTTGTTCAAGGTTTACGCTCATGTCAAAAAATAGGCGTCAGAGGCCGAGTACGAGTACGCTCTGATTGGTTGGTTTATTGGCGCCGGCCAATCAGAGTGCCGAACGCGTACTCATTTCGAATACTTTAAACGTAAATCAAAACTCGTATTAAGGCTTCTGTTTAGGAGAAAACGCTATCGGCTACCTTCAAAGCTGTCTAACGTTAATGGAATTTAAAAGATCCGAGGTATAGCAATAAGATATAGCTTTATTATAATAAATGATATATAGTCATACAGTCATACAGATCAACAGTATTAAGTTCATTAGGCGATGTTCTTGAAATATATGTATCTAACAAATATACCTAAGTACATTTGTATATTTTATGCATGTCTCCTTATTTTAAGAATGACCTAAATAAGCTTGTCATGCTTCAAAGAAAAAGTACCCTAGCCGTAGTATGAAGTAATATATACAAAGAATTAGTTGCAGAATAAAACATTTTCCTCTAAAATATATTATGAATGGTTAAACTTTAGACGTAGGTATGTATTAGTCACTTGTTCTGCGAACAGCTTGATTTGTTAAACAAATAGATAAAAATGGTTCAGAGGTTCGCGGCGTCTTTTGAAGCGTTTATTTATAGTGGCTAAAGATGTTTGGTAATAGATCTGTTTTTTTGAACGTAGCCTATTCGTGATCTATAGTATATTGTCTTGCTTACAGTATCATATAATTGGTGATTAATTTATACCCTTATGGCGTTTATTTCTATTTATGTTAGACAACAAATGGTCAAATGTTTCTGCCTCTTTTCATATAGAGGACGAATCGAATTAGTTAACAGTTGATTACACATAGGTATCTAGACATTCATATACATATAGATACGCATAGTAATTGAAACGCAATGGAGACGATTCGATGCAAGTCGGCATTCAGATATATTTTCACAATAACTATCACGTTTGTAAACAGTCGGTATTTACTATTTACTCAACGGATTATCCCACTGAACCAAGGCTGTTTTGGCTTACGCGTCCAATGCATTTGCCGAATCCAAGGTCCGTCTGTCTCAATATTGTAATGATTTAAGAAGTTATTGTGGGTTTTATGATCTATGTGTGAATTTGTGAACAATGTTATAGTACAAAAAACGATGTTTTTATTAATGAACCTTTTGTTGATTCACAAAAATGGAGATTCAATTAATATTAAATGTAAAAGTTAAGGTTGAAATTCTTAATTAGGGATTACTTAATGCAGCAATTACTAGCGTAATTATTTCTTATACGTATGTCATTATTTTGTCTAGTTCAAGTGACAGTATCGTGGATTCTAAATTCTTATAAAGTCAATACCGATGTGGCAATGTTTTCATAAAGTATTTTTCCATTTTCCAGATGCAAACGATTCTACATCACAACGGCAGTGGGAACTTGGCGTACACCGGCAGATTGAAGAACAGAGAAGTACACCGAGCCATCACGCTGCATCCTGTGAAGGACCACCGGCAAATGTACAGGATACATTCCTATTTTAAGGTAAAGAACTTTTTGGTAACCTGATTCTAAGGCGTATGGTAGAATTGATTGGTTATCCTACGTCTAATTCTTCATCGGATGTCGTAAGGACTTATTAAGAGACTGAAATGTGTTCACAAAGATCGGACAATAGCGCTCTCTGATAAATAGTAGGGTAGTTGTCAGGGAATGAAAATTAAAAATCTAATTAGTCCGTCAGTTAGATGATGAAAAAATATTAGACACGCATTTTTTATTTTCTCGTATAACGTTGCAATACTTAAATAAAATGGAATTAAATTTAGAATTGGGAGGTCGTTACGTCACTAAGTGCTACAAAATGTAGCGCATACTGACGTCACGCGATATTTCAGATTAATATATCGTCGAAAGTATTTAGTTTTGTGAAAAATGAAAAAATACGTGTAACGTAAAAAAATAAAATTTAGACCTATTATGATTTTTTTTAAACTATGCTTTTCGATCTGGCTGACAAGAGTGGAGATCATGGCAAACCTTTTGATGTAGATGCTCATAATCTAGCAGTGGACTGTCACAGGCGGTTGACGATTGATGATGAGAATTTTTGTATCAATTTCTTCCATATTACCAGCCGAAATCTTGTGATGGCCCCGTGAAATGTAGATTTTTGTCAGTACAGAAACATTTATTGGCTTTTTAACACATTCCACATAGGTTTCTGGAGCACATTTTAGTATATTTCCTTTAGCATTCGATTTAGCTACAATGTATCTGAAAGTAAATATTTTACAAGTATCTTGTTCCCGGTCATTGTACCCACGTGTAGATGAATGTTACAGTTATTTTCGGTTTCCTAGTATTTGTTTGAAGATGATTTACTTCTTCTTGTTTCGCACTAGTTTTGTATACGGTTTCGTTCGACAAGTATGCTGGACGTTTGTTTATTGGTGTTACCTATATATCATTCTGTTGGCTCTGTGCCTCTATGTGATGTGGTGATGGATATTGGAATGGTATTAAAATGTTAATATTTTTGTATTTAAAGATCAATCTTTGTATCAATACACTATTACTTGAATATAGATAACCTCACAATGAATTCCGATACTGTTCGATTTAGGGTTTTTTTTTTAAGGGTGGAAAATCATCGAATGACTGCTCCCGCCTGGGTGAGGCGGAAGGGAGTGTCAGACTCTTACTGACTAAAAACCACCCCGTTCCTTCTCCTGCACGTCGAGCCGGAGCCCCGGTTACCCGTTAGGTTCTCCGCGACTCCGAATCGGCATCGGCCCTATTGGGCCCCATCTGTGGTGGTCTGATGGCTCTTTGAGGCGCGCGCGGAACGCGACGCGCCGTACGCTCGGGTCTGTTTCTGGTCGGACGGGGAGCCACCCATGCTCGCCGTCCGCAGGCCCGCGCTTACGGTGGCCGGAGATCGTCTCGCGATCCCCGACGCCCGGTGTGTCCTTCGCGATGGCTGGGTTGCGAGGAGGCAGCGCTTCGCTGCCTCACGCGTCCCGCCTCCTCCTTAGCTAGCATGACTGCTTCGCAAAAGGAGGAGACGGCATCCCAATCCCCCTCGCTCCGCATCATGACCAAACTAGCACATCATAGAAGTTAGAGTGTCTGCTAATTTAAATCCAAAATATACAGATAAGTTATAAATATTTATGTAGTTATATATCTGTTAATATGCATTTAAATTTGATTAAATAAAGTAAAATATACAGATTAAGATCGATTTTTATGAGTTCTATAGAATTTTTGTCAAAAATCAAGACCGATCCAAAATCATATTAATTTTGGGTTTTCTAGATTCCTCATTCTCTGGAAATTTATTTTTGCCTTCATACTCTCTAAACTCAAAAAGCCTATTTAACATTTGCCCAACTTAATGCACTGATATACTTTTGCAGTATTGCCCGTCGACCATCACCAGTTTTGAAGGTACACATCTGGTAATCCTTTGTAGAATAACGTCAAGATGTTTATATTGTGTCTACCTTTGAACTTGTATAGTCAAGTTATTTATAGTCAATAACAAACAGTAGCAAGTTATGATGTCAGGCGTCAAGTTTGTCTGCTCGTGTGGCCGTGAGGGGAATAAATTCGGCGTAATTCAAATCCATGATAACCTTACGTTTAATTTTGTTTATAGCGAAGTTTAGATTAATTGCTAAATATAACCTTTGTGTAATGATTATTCTGATATGTAGATATTTATTTTTTTTTATTTATAAAAACGTTGCCCCACATTAGGATTTTCTCCTGTGTCGTGGGTGCGTTTACAAACATACAAGTTTACATACACAATGACGCCCAGACCCGAAACAACAATTTGTGGATCACATAAAGTGTTGTTCCGTGCGGGAATCGAACCCGCGACACGTTGCACGGCAGCCGGTTGCCCAGCCACCGCACCAACCGAGCTGTCGATAATCGCAGTAATATGCATGTTATACCGGAATCGTTACCTAATTTTTAAGTGCAAGAGTATTCGAAAATTTAGTTCCCAAATAAGAGGAAATTATGTCCTGTTTTTGATGTTTCATAACTGTCTCAATAATAGAATGTCTGTACCATGCATGTAGAATGTACAATAGATTACCGGCATTATCTAATGCCGGTAATCTATTTTCCTACGAAGACTCTTCTTCTCGTACTAAACGGGACTGAGAAGAGAACTATTGCATAGTGGGTGTTTAAAGATACAACTATCTCTGCCTATGCCTTCTTGGATTATAAAACGTTATAATAGTACATAGTATTATACTATGTGGTTTCAAAGCGTTAAAAATATCTGAAGACTAAATTAAAACATTATTTTTTTTTTTTTTTTTTTTTTTTTAACTAATGCAAATCGTTACAAAATTCTAGCTTAGGAAATATGACGTCATTTCGACCATTATTCTTATTGCAAACTCAACATCAATGGTCACCTAAATATAAATGATTTAGAAAATGATGAACCTGCACCTTAATATAATCATGTTTCAATCAGGTTTCATAGGAAGTGTTACCGTGGTGAAAATAATTAGAAAAAAAAAAAAATGCGTGTATGTATGCATGCAAATGTTTGTTTGATTTGTGTGTGTGTGTCTGTGTGTGTAGGTTGCAGTTATAACACAACATAACGATGTACGATATTGTGGTTTATATATTTTCCTGTGATAATATTTTGATTATTTGCTTCCTGTATGCATGTTTACTATTGCCAAATATATCCAATGTACTCAACTTATTATTATATGTCCCAAACATTCGATTCAGCGGGGACCGACTGCCGGCGTTAGTACGTGATCGCGTTTTAGCAAAGACCTGCTTATGACGAGAGGCTCTCACATGGGCTCTCAAGGGCACGGAATATGTTATTTTATTTAATATTTTTATACAATCATATTTGTTATTACAGATATCAAACAACAACATAGCCTCCAGTTGTACTCTTCTAGACTTGAGATCAAGTAACTTATATAACTTAAGCAGTGCCTTGTAAGGTAATTGTTTACGAAGACATTTAAAATTAGTATAACGTAGAAACTTCTTTTGTACCCTTTCTAAGCCATTTTCATATTTTTGGTAAATTGGGTTCCATATAGCAACAGCGTACTCAAGTTGCGGCCTTATTAAAGATTTAAAGAGATAGGTAAAGGTCGATGGATTTCTGAATTCACTGGCTGACCTCATGACAAATCCGTACATTTTAAAGGCGTTATTAATAATATTTTCTATATGAATATCAAAGTGTAATTTGTTGTCTATAGTAATACCCAAGTCTCTGATAGACTGCACTTTCTCAATGTTAGTTCCACACAGTGAATATGTGTAATTGCTAACTACTTTTTTTTTACTAAAGCTAATACTTTTACATTTGTTAAGACTAAGCTCCAATTTGTTTTCGAGGCAATATAGGCTGAATCTATCCAGGTCTTCTTGAAGATAGATGTGGTCTTGATAGTTATTTATTCTTACATATATTTTTAAGTCATCAGCATAGAGTAGAAAGTCACTACTGAGGAAACATTTGTCAACGTCATTAATAAAGATAACGAATAGCAGTGGACCTAGGATAGATCCCTGTGGAACGCCAGAACTTACTATAGTGGTGTTTGACTCATAACCCCCAATTGCAACCCTCTGTGTTCTACCAGAAATGTAAGACTTGAACCACCTCCACAGGTCACCCCTTATACCATTGAATGCAATCTTTTCTAGCAATTTACGATGATCTACGCGGTCAAATGCTTTGCGGAAATCTGTATAAATACTGTCAATTTGAGTATTAGCATCGAGACCTTCAAATAGATCTGTGGTATATGCTAGAAGATTTGTCACAGTTGATCGTCTCTTAACAAATCCATGTTGCTGTTGTAAGATATGATTATGTAGTAGAGGATATATAGCATTGTGGACTAGTCTCTCAAAGATTTTAGAAAGTACCGGCAGTATGGATATAGGTCGGTAATTCTCGACGTCATTTTTTGAATAAGAACTATAACAATTTTCACCTTTGTAATGTAAATTTAAAATAAAAAATAACTACATGTCGATAGATCTCACTTCCCCGGTTTACAACACAAAACAACACCTTGGTGCAGGTATTTGTTATAAACTTCACAGGACCAAGAAACCAGATCTATGTGGAAGCTATAAATCTGCGCGTACGCACCGTCCAACCTGCCTTTGATCTTCCACGTACAATTTTGCTTTGGAGTATGAATATTATCAGGTTCAGTTTTAAATAATTGATCTTAACCCGTGTATGTACACGTATGCATGTGAGGAAATCTAAAGAAATGTGTAATGGATAATAGTAAGGGACTCTGTGATTTTTATCTTTCTTATGGGACAAATTCTAACGGGATGTTAGTTTCTGTTTCAGTATCCGACGACTTAAGATTAACCGACTTAAAGCAATTAATATTATATTACACTATCATTTGTTGTAATTTTGTTATTAAAGACGTACACGTATTAAAGCTTTTATATTGCAAGAACTTGATGGCTTATTTTCTTGGCCTTACGCATGGTCCCTTAACAATAGATTGCTTAATTCATACTCCAATCTAAGGGCTGGGAAGACTTTTATTTTTAGCGATACAAACTCACTTCGTTATTGTTTATGAGACTTTGATTATACAGATGAGTTGTGCGCCATTTTTTATTTTTTATTCTGATTCTGGTTCAGCTGTAAACTGCAAGTTTAATGGTACAGGAATTTAGTACAGGATGCACATGTTTATTGTGATTATTTCTTAGAAACTTTATTACAATTGGTTAAGGTTTATCTCGCTCTATCTTGTTGATAGGATGAAGTTATTGGTTTCTGCAGTTACGGGTGATTATGAACGCTTTTGTAAAAGTTTAAGTGTTTTCCAGCAAATATATATTATGCCACGTTTTGTTTTGGCGAGTATACTACTGTGCCCATAGATACAGTCATTTTAAAAACGTTTAAGTGAAATTGTCTGCCGTAATTTCAGCCAATGAAATTGTCTATTTTTTCCAAGACAAGATTCATATTACATTAATACTAAACAAGTATGTCTTTTTAATTCTCATCAGAATATTCCTGCTACAGTGGCATGCTAGGATATTGAGCATACTTTTTAAAGGATATTAATGACATAACTAACGCGACCAGTTCCCGTTACTTTTTTCTAATAACCTGATTATGGATCCATTAAAATTATTAAGTTACTAACTAATAATATTGGATAACGTATGTAAACAAGATAGTATGGGTGCAATAAACGCATTAACATTTACATGACACGTTATCGAAATAGTTATCAGGGAATTTTAGCGAATCTGTGTTGAATGCTGGTATTTTATTTTTGTCGTGTTTACGTTACCTAAAAGATAGGCTGGTTTGAGATCTAAAGAATATCATCAATCAATACATAAAGGTAAACCTTTAGGTACAAACTAGCTGACCCAACAGACATTGTTCTGCATATCCACTTGAATGTATAAACAAAAATTCATTCTAATTAGTTCAGCTGTTTAGGATAAATAACCTAAACAGTGCCATCTGCCGGGCTGATTTGTGAATCTAAACCATTCCCAGATCCCCTTGAACACACACAAAAAATTTCATCAAAATCGGTCCAGTCGTTTGAGAGAAGTTCAGTGACAAACACACTCATAGGAGAATTATATATATAAAGATTGACAAATATGGTGATTTGACGAAATCACAAATGTGGCCTGATTTAGGCAATTGGTTTGGTTTCGTATTGAAGCTTAATAAGTACCCACTAAAGCTTTGTTTCTCTAAATGAAATGAAATAATTGAATTGAAAAGTCTATGCTGCATAAGTGCCACTGATTTGGTTTTACTGTATTTCCTTAATTAAATTATCATACTAATATTGATTTAAGCTATAAACTCCATTACGTAAACTTTTCTTATCAACCGATTATTTAGGCACCAAAAATTTTATCTGTTTACCAAATTAGTTTAATTAACTCTTCTCCGTTTATGATTACAGAACCTTCGAATCCAGGAGCTTCGAGAACGTTCTCTAGACTTGCACCGAGATATTGCATTAGCAATGAAGGAGTTGGCAGTTCCTGAGGATCAGGTGGAAGACTATAAGCTGCCTGGAGACGTACCACTGTTTCCAGCCAAGATTGGGGATCCAGATTATCTGGGTGACAATAAGATATTAGGTGAGCTTGTACCATTAAATCTTAATCACAAAGTATCAGATCAATATTAAGTGTCCCCATGGACACCTATTCCGAGGTGTCGCTTAATATTTATACTATCAGGTGATCTGTATGCTCTCTCTCTAAGGATGGTTATAAATAAGAGTTTCAAAAACGTTTTAGTATTCCTTGTTTTTGTCAGAAAAAGGGGCTTTAACTTCCACCCTGAAGAAAAAAGATTGTGGGATTTCATTAAATCTTTGACTAAAACATACCTTTTCTCATTCCAGGTGCTCCAATGGACCTAAACCGCTACAAACCAGACACGATAGAAGACATAGTGCCATTTGACTTCATCAGCAAGTCTTTATACTCAGCCAGCCACGCTAATCCCAAAAGGCGGATAGAAGGACCACTTCGTGAAGCACTCGACGATGTTATCAGAGAAGTGAGTTTAGTAGCTTAAGTAAAAGTAAATTTTTATTAGTTTTTTCAAAATTAGACAATTTTATCTGCGGTTCGAAATTGGTTATCCGTTGAATTTAAAGAATATCTCTACAATTAAAAACTTAGTTTCATACCTCAAAAAACCTTTTTCATTTTAATTTGAGATTGGATATCATTGTCAATTGGGGAACGATTATTGGGGACATAATTTTGTGGTGCAACAGCAACTCTACGGCTCTACTAGCATGAAAATTACTACATAATCCTGTTAACCCTCTCTTCTCAATTCCAGGTAATGGAGATAATAAACGCGCCATCCCGTCAGCGAGGTCGTGTGATAGACTTCAATGAGCTGCTGTACGGGTACACACGCCTGCAGCCGCTACACGGAGCTGATCATGTGCTGGACCTGCTCCTCAAGTACCGGCGCTACAGGGGACGCAAGATGACCGCCGCTGTCAGACGACACGCTTACTTGCAGCAAAGTTTTACCAGTAAGATTTTTTTTAAAAATTAGGCCAAATATTTGTAAAATTCCTACCTTATGCATGCATTTTATGGGTCTTTCTTCAGCCTCTTTTACAGTTTAGCCTTCTACTTAGGAATCCAATTTTATCAAAATAATAGAGAACCTAACCTAACCTAACCTAACCTAACCTAACTCTAGGTTCACTTAATTCCATTCATGTATTTTCAGGTATGGAGATTAGAGAAATACCAATGGGAGATCCACCACCATTCGAGGACCCTGAAGTATTAGATGAATCCGAAGTCACCAATAACATCAATCCTGTAGATTATGAAGATTTTGATGAGACTCGTCAACAACAAGAAGGATTTTTAGACAAATTAAATGTAAGAGAAGCACTCGAGAGTGGTCTAATGAAGTTACAGAACTTACCAAAAGTATTGAACTGGGGTGATGATGGCTCTGAGGAATATCCAGTGTACGATAGAAGAATCCATTTTATTATGCCTTTATCTGGTAGGCAAGAGACTTTTGGAAGATTTATGAAAAACTACGAAGACATCGTACTGAAGACTAATGAGGCTGTGTCGCTTATAGTTGTATTGTATCTAGATACTAGTAATCCTCTAGACTATAAGAACTCTGAGAACTTAGTCAACTTCTATGTTAATACGTATGGCAAAGATATTAGGACAGTGCTCATGGGTACGGAGACTTTCTCACGAGGTGCAGCATTGACAGAAGGACTCAAACTGTGTTCGCCTGACGATTTAGTTTTCTTTATAGATGTAGATATGATGTTTAATTTTGATACTCTCAGAAGAATCAGGATACACACTATCAAGTATCATCAAGTATATTTCCCAGTAGTGTTCAGCGAGTACAATACTGAAGTAGTTAATGGTGATGATTATAATAAACTGTTGGGTGATAACATCGAAGAAGAACCTATATTGGATGAGATGGGAGAGGAAGAAGAGCCAGTTGAAGAAGTTGAAAAAACTGAAAAGGAATTAATAAATCTAAAGTATACTAAAGAAATAACTAACGACAACGGTTATTTCAGACAGTATGGTTTTGGTATTTTAGCTATATACAAGTGCGATTTTGAACGTGTTGGAGGATTTGATTTAAAAATCAAAGGTTGGGGAATGGAAGATGTTCAAATGTTTGAAACATTGATAAAATCTAATTTAACCGTATTAAGGGTAGCAGATGAGAGTCTTGTTCATATTTTCCATTCTGTGGCTTGTGACAAGACTTTGCAGAGACCGCAATTCTTGATGTGTCTCGGTACAAAAGCCTCCACGTATGGGAGTGAAAAACAAATGGTTAATTATATGATAAATCATCCGGAAGTGATGTGGCCTCCGCAACAGGCTATTGAAGAAATGGAAAAAAAGATAGAAGAAGAAAAAAAGGTTGAGGAGGAAAGAAAGGCAGAAGAACAGAAGAAGATTGAAGCTGAAAAGAAGGCTGAGGCCGAGAAGAAAGCTAAAGCTGAGGCGGAAAAAAAAGCTGAGGCGGACAAGAAAGCTGAGGCCGACAAAAAAGCTGAGGCTGACAAAAAAGCTGAAGCTGACAAAAAAGCCGAAGCTGAAAAAAAAGCCGAAACTGACAAAAAAGCCGAAGCTGACAAAAAAGCCGAAGCTGACAAAAAAGCCGAAGCTGATAAAAAAGCTGAAGCTGACAAGAAAACGTCAGAAGAGAAAAAAGGTGCTAGATAGTACAGGGTTTAATATACGGTCTAGATATTTGGTGCAAAAGAACTAAGTAAAGTAATTAATGATTTGTATAAATATGAGTACGAATTCTAGTATTTTTAATGTTTTTGTTGTCCTTTTCTGTACATATTTATTTAGAAAAGGTAGTCCTACTTGTGGTAAGATATAAATTATAAGAGATTTTATAATTTTTGTCTTAAAATTAGGATGTTGCTAGAACGGAACATGACGCAAAATAAAATAAAATTTCGATTACGAACGATTATTGTTAATACATGTGATTTAGTATTAAGATACATATACATAAATACATTTTTTTGAAACTATTTATCTCGCAGTGCTTTATCTTGCGTCAAATTAAATTATTCTTTCTTGTATATTTTATCCTATTCTCTCAAATGATTCCATGTTTGTAATGATGCATTTATTTCTATTTAACTTAACCTTAGTACGATTTATTATTTATAAACTTATTTGTTTTACTCTCCTATTAATATCCTTTTTACAATTTATTGGAACAAGAATATCACAATAATACCTATAATATACTAGGTATACATTTTATCGTATTTGTATCCATTGTATAATAGATTTGTGTTACTTTTTAATGCAAGACATATCTTTCCTACAAGCAGTACCTCACTAAAGTATAGTGGTAAGTTATTCAATGGAATTGTTATATAAATTATATAAACTTCATGTACAAAGTGACGGTACATTTTGGTGCGAAAAACGTATAATAATTTTGTTCCTATTAAAACAAAGCAAAATATAATTGTAAACGTCATTTAGTTGTATAAAAATGATGTGTCTATACACTCTATGTTTGTATCCAATATTTATATAATTAATCGTTAATCTTCTGTAATACGTTAATCTTCTGTTTTATTATCTACGTATTCAAAAATTACGTATGTTTTATGAAATGCCTCTGGTGGATATTATTTATTGGTATAACTTGCTCGCTGAGTGAACGGCTGTCTCGTCAGCGTTTTGACATCTACTAACGATATGCTACGATATGTCATAAGATCGGCAACACAACAACATGAATTGCAAAAACAAAAACTTTAAAATAAGATACAATAGGACAAGGTGTTTTTAATGCACAGTAACTAGTATATTTTTACACAAACATATGATGTCTTTAACACCATCAAACGCTCTGAAAAGTAAAGAAATAAATATATGTATAATCATATTGGCTGGCCAATACTGTATGCTAGCAGTAATATTTTAGTATTAAACATCCAATACGACCCTTTCGGGTTGAATTAGGGCTTACACAAGTCACAGAATAGCATAATAATCTAGTTTTATTAGTATCAAGTCACCGCCAAGTTCCAATATGGCCTTTTTGCACGCTCCGGTTTCTACCTAACATGTACCGGTTACCTGGCAGGAAAGTGCACGTGTACCCGAGGTTTTAATGTGACAGTGGCTAGCAGCAATTTGACAATATTTTTATTCGATTTTTGACGTAATATTAAAAGAATAAAGTTGAAAATCGAATAAGAGATGACTTGTTACTGGCCACCGTAAATTTGCCACCAGGGCCGCGTTGAATGTCGGCCGGAGGGTGTAAAAAGCCACTAAGTTTCAGCTTCAAGTAAATCCTATTCTATTGTAAATTATTTTCTTTCAGTCATTAACTGTCCATGTCATGCAGAATACTCGAAAAACTTTGGTTGTGACAAGCTTATTTATCGAAAACTATATGAATAAGCTCTTTGTTCGGAATAGGCAATACCACTTAATGGCAATATTACTTACTTTGTTATAAATTTAGGGGGAAGTATTGAGTATGAAGTAAACGATGCCAGGTTCGCACGTAAAAAGAAAACAATTAAATAATATTTGACGTAGGTAGAATTTGTCTAAGAATGAGGCACTAAATTGGAAATCCAATTGATCCAATTGATTTTATTACCGTAATTTATTTTATTACAAATAATAAAACAGTATACACATAACGCATTTACAATTCATTATTATACCTTAATAGGCACAGAACTATGACTTAAATGCGTTGTCTGTCTTTTCAAAGTTCAGTGCATCGCCTGGCATCATACCGCAGAGATTCGTCTTCGATTCCAACCCAGTGCTCTATCATAATACCTATATGTGAAACTAAGTATTATTTTTAAATAAATGTAAATAATCATGTACATTGTTATTATTGTGCTCACTAAGTGCCAATTCCTAGTAATTTAAGTAGAACAATGAAGTAAAATCGAAACGTATGTCGTATGTATGTATAATGAAATATTTCATGTTGATATTATAATATGAACAATTTTGAAATTGCATTGTGATTTGAAAGTGATGAAATTAATTGAAATAGTATCGAAAATAAATATATTTTGTGATGATATATTTGTGTATTATTATTTACAATATATTCTGATGTTTTATCACCAATTGTATTTTTTTAGGTATGCCAGTTTTCAGATCGGTTTAAGCTTATTACTTTTTAATTTTTGCTTGAACAGGATAGAAAACATAGTGTCATTCCCATTTCTTCATGAGGAAGTCGTAATAGACATTTGCATGAGACAAATTAATTGAGTAGGCATTTCTGATAATGTATGGAATGTTTTCTTCTCAATCGTTTGCGTCATTGAAAGGCTTTCATTGCTATCAATGTTATTTCCCTCCATCTTGTCCTGATTTCGGCTTTTCTCAGGGCTTTCGTAACGGAGAGTCAAAGTGAAAGTCAAAGCATTTATTTCAAACCTTAATTAGACACTTTTGAAGCGTCAATAATTAAGCTAAGAGTAGGCTAGATTCCGTGTGATTGGTAATTGGGATCCCACAGGATATTGATATTCTTCCTGACCTTGCCAATACCTAAGCATGTTGTTCCGAACCAAAGTAAAGAACACTCATACCCAAATGACGAAATAACCATTACAAATCAACAGACAACTTGTAAAATGCTTGTATTAGTAGATATAAATGTCGGAGCCACACTCATACTCAAGTAGCACTTCAAGATACGTAAAGCACATACACGAATACTTTAGAAAGTTCACTATTTGTATGTTAAATGACAATTTAACAAGTTTATATTTTGTTCATGTAAATGTATATTGAGAGATGCATTCAAATTCGTTTTTATTCAATCTTTTTATAAGGTAGTAAGTGTGTGATGTTACGTGGGAGAGTCATCGTCAGCAAGAATGGTTTGACTTGGAATGAGTAATACCACGGTCCACGGCCGCCTCACTTATATTTATTACCGTCTCTAGTTTATACGAGATTTCAATGGTGGCGCTGATTACATAAGATCGCGATATAACATCTGCTCCTTCTTCGGTCCTTAGAAAAATAAGAAATTTCTCAGCTATATCTATATCTTGAACGTGAACCGACCGATCACTAGACCGATGTCAAAAAAGGCATAAAGATAATTATAATGTTTCATTACTTTAATTGAAAAACATTTAACTCGTCTGTTGAACACTTCATACTAATCTTAAAAAATAAATCTTTCGAAGCCATTATTTAACTTTATTTTATGATGCAACTTAAAAGTTTCGCTATATTGTGATTGCAAGATACAAAACAGATTGAGATATGTATTTCATTGCTTAAAAACCTCTTCCTTGTAAATCCATAACTGATTCAAAATTACACAATAAACATTTGAAACCTTCGCAATATTGTTGTTAATGACCGAAATATAGACAACTACACGTTAAGCTCCTCTAAACTTGCTCAAACAATTTTCAACCTTAAACTTATATAATTGTACAGTTCAAAATCGTTGAAGTATTTGACGGATTTAGGAAGGTTGATCTGCTGTACATTTGTTATGTCTCAACTAAAATCATTAATCATATTGCTGTAGATAAATATATCGGACACAATAAGTGGCAATTACCTGCCTACTCGTGCCACTTTCATTGCGAATAAATAATACAAGTTACATGTTAACATAGGTACAGTATAACGCCACCATCTTTTATTCACTATTAACTTATGGGTTTGGTTGAGAAGCGCATGTTAAACCTAACACCCACTTTTCCATAGTTTTATTATGAAGTCCCTTATAATATCCCCTATCAACACAAAGCAACATTATGAGTCTGACGGGAGGGACTCATACACCCGCCTTCCAAAAGTAATTCGATGATTTTCCCCCCTCATAAAAAAAGCATATTGTTTGATTTGGTGTTAAGAATATCCGAAGAACTATTAATTTGCCACATCCTGGTAGGGTGCTCGAATAACTCTCAAAGGCAACTTAAAGTATCCACTACCTGATAAAGGTTAACTAAGTCTTCGGTGGATTATTTTCGCAAACCTGGATAAAAGGTAAACCCTTTATGTAGAGGTGACCCATGGTCCAGTGTAGTGAATTGTTATACGCTGTAATTGATGATTAGACATAAGTGTGTCGTCTCCACAAGCCATTATCAACATTGTTTATGATTTTTATCTTCACATAGCTTCTTTTACACATCTCATCCCTCTCATCTTCTTCTCTACATACTACAAATATAAAATAAACGTTCCAATCGATTTTGGTCATGGTAGTAAATCTAACTAGACTAGCAGATATGTAGGAAATATCATAGTGCAAAAGTGTGTGTGCAAACACAGGTACCGTAAAATGGGGTGAATAGGGATCGAGAGGTGAATAGGGACGGAAGAGGGGTGAACAGATATAAGGAAATTCTTCATAGTATTCATTCACCCCTCTTCTGTCCCTTTTCGCCACTCAAACCCTATTCACCCCATTTTACCGTACACTCTCCGTTCCGCCACTATCTGAACCTGAAGGGACGGCAGACCGACGCTACCGGAGAGAGGACTGGCGTAGGACCAACTTTACATGCTTTCTGATGCACCGGGGTGAACCACCACCAACGGTCAACTGTCACTTTTTGGCCAGTGCGGGAATCGAATCCGCGACACGTTGCTCAGCAGCCGGTCATCCAATCAACTGCGGTAACCGTGCAATCAAACATAGACATACTATATAACTCTTCTAAGAACATATCCATGTCAGAACCCCATAAAAAGATGGCACTAGATGATTGATATCAGTCCCGCAGTCCATCACCTCATTGTGCAAGTAAGTAATCGTGAGATGCGTAGGAGACGAGCTTCTTACATAAACCGTTCAATTAATTCTGTAAGCAAATAAACATTCGATTTCTCTACAAGTAGGTACTAATCCTTTGCGGTTCGTTTGAAATCCTTTATTACTTAGTTAGTATGTACGGCAGCATATCCATCTTCATCCAGTCTTTATTTGAATACAAACATTATATGTTTATTGATAAGGTTGGCAATCTATTGAAGGTATGAGAAATTTAGGATAGCTTCATGTGCGTGACTGTTTGCACTCCTTGCGGTTGACCGCCATTGAACTGATTTGCTTTTAAATTTGGAAATGTTTATTTTTTTTTAGTTTTTGAATTCATCTTGTGGTCTCGTTGACCTTGTGACGTGTGTTTGATGCCCATGGTCTATTTGGTTTTCAATTTTTAAATAAGCACAAGTAACATGAGGTCTAGTATAAGTACATTGCCTAACATGAGTAATAGAATATTTCGAGTTCGATTGATGTCACTTTCATTATTTTGAGTGAGTTTCTGTAGAACTTTTTTTTGCGGGGGGAAAAGTCATAAATTGGCTTCTCCTGCCTTGGGTGAGGCGAGAGGGAGTGTCAGACTTTTACCGACCAAAATCACCTCGTTCCTACTTCCACTCTTTGAGGCGGAGCTCCGGCAACCCCGTTAAGCCTTGTGACTTTTTCGATATTTAATTAATAATTTAAATTTTAAGGTTCCAATTATTAACAAAATGTAACCGGAATAGTCACTCGCATGGACTAAGGAACTATCTCGTTTGCATGGGCCTTAATGACCAGAAAATTTTGACTGTTGATGAAGCAAAAGAGGTTTGTAAGAACCGTAGCAATTCGAAACCCCCATGGGAGAGAGGCGTGAGTATATATATAGGTATTGAAAGGACTACAAACATAATAAACGATTATTCCTTTATTTTTGCTTTATATGGCCATTTATTTAGTAGTGGATACGTTATGTTTACGTCATTTAGCAGTTTTAGTATCTTGACACCTCACTTTATCACCTTTCACGATTAGTCCTCCATCTTTTAAACAGTATTTAAATAAACTCAAGAAGTGTATTCGACAATATTAATGGACATTCTATGTAAAAATAATATTTACTTAGTCAATTAATATCCCCATAACAAATATGTTCTGTCAAATCTTTAAATTAATGTGAAAGTACTTAGTGATTCTAGTATTTTGTCAATTCAAGAAATGAATGAGCCTACTGACCACAATTCATCGTTTTAATCAAATACCTACATACACTTTGCGGTAACTAGGTAAACAGTGAAATAAATCGGACGATTAATTTTAATAAAAACTTCGTTGATTTAAGCTTCATTTTCATTTGATACCACAGTCATTATTCACTGCCTGAACATGGGTATCACCAATAACAAAATCGTAGAAAGAGGCCTACCCCCATGGGAGACATGGAAACTGTAGTAAATAGTGTGACACTATTTAATAATATATTCTAAATTGTTTAGTACTTAAATACATTTATGTTCTGAAAACTAACACGTTGCACGACCATGTCGCCACAACATTAGGACATAATTAGCAATTAAATAAACAATGGTTGCACGCAAGACGCAGAATCTTACCATCCACCATTGCAAAAGGAATGCGATTACACTGCGTATGAAGTGCTTAGAAATGTACACTATGCGCAGTTTGTGTCCCCTCTGTGCTTAGGTATTGTTAGAGCTCCTTCTAAGCTTTCGACATTTTCATAAAAAAAACAATCTATCTATCTCCCAAATTATAGCCCGAGGAATTCGTAATAAATAACCACTATACGATTCCCATTTACTGGATATACCTACTTATATATGCATATTGGGCATAATTTCAGACTCAATGCTTTTATTTCTTACATCAAAAAGTCGAAAAAGGCCTATTTACCCTTCCCTTCTCCAATCTCTCCAATTCCTGAATCCCAACGATCCTCAAACTTCTAATCCCCAAAAGGCCGGTAACGCACTTGTAACGCCTCTGGTGTTCCAGGTGTCGATGGGCGACGCCGATAGCTTACCATCAGGTGATCCGTCTGCTCGTTAACTGGCTTATGCCATAAAAAAAATCTTAATCACCTTGCAATCAAACCTGAGACCCCTTACTTAGTTATAAACATTTTTGCATCAGTGACAGAGAAAGTAAAATACTTATTACAATGAGATCTGTGTAAACTAAAGATCGCTTAGTATTCATCGTGTCAAATTGCTAGCCTAGTCAGCTGACATCACCTATGATGGTTTCTGAGAATCTTACTACTTAACGCATGTTCAGAATACCTAGTTTATTGCAAGATATTGCATTATTGCGCTACTCTCTTTTATCGTGTGGAAGCGTGACTTCTGTTCGTAGATCATGCTGTTGTTTTATTACTAACTTTTACACATGGGTTCCCACGCGTGGTCAACGGAAAATTAATAGCATAGGTTTGTCAATCTCCAGCCGCCTCACTACCTCTAGACATAAAGACAAATTCATGGAATAGTTGTAAAAATTGCTTTTCATTGGTTGGAAACCATATCTTGTATTTTTTTCAGCATTTTCCCAAATGCATAATTGACTACAAAAATATTGTGAATCTGAAAAAGTGTTTTTTACATTTTCATATTTTATTGGTCTTTGGTAAACACCAAAGATAGACAGACGTTTGTCTTGATTTATCTTGTCTTGGTGTATCAAGACAGACGTCTTGATTTATCTTGTCTAGATCCGACTGGTCCAGGCCTAGTTTAACCTAATGATCAGGTACTGTGTATTTTCTACATTTCAAACTTCTTCTCATAATTATTATGTATAATGGAGTACCAATATTTATGACACAACTTAATCACTTCATCGAATATAAAGCAGACTTACAGGAAATTTGGAATTTTCATTGACCCGAATGACATCGCGCGTTAGTTTCACAACATCAGCATACATGTCTGGTGGCAGTCGCCGGCGGGTGATGACCATTGTCTTCTAAGTCGCAATGTATGACGTAATTTTATGTAACGTGCATTACGGCCGCAATTTTAGAGAGATTAGCCGTGGGATTGCGATGTTTCCCAACTATTGATGGTACTCGGAGTCTTGGTCGATTGGGATCACGTCTGCCCACAAGAACAGAGGCTTCTATTGAGATGTCGTCACTAACGACTCTGTTTTACTTTTGTTTACTAAGTGCAGTTTTGCTGACTGCTTCCTCATTCATGTGGTCACGAGCTTGCTTATTTGGGTTCAATCTGGGTTCGGAAATGTTTTAGATTGAGCCCAGAGCAGGGCACACAGCTTCCGTCCTTCTTAAAAGCAACGTCAACAATACACAATACTTTCACACAATTTTACATAATATGAAGTAACATTTCTAATGTTGCTTCTTATTAACCTACCTAAAGCTAGACACTAGTGTAATATCGAGTTTCAAAACTTCAGTAATCATTTCTATAGGTATCCGTAGGTACCGCATTATCAAAAACATTTACTACGCCTGCGGCAAATCTGTCTTTATGTACGACAGTGGTTTGACCCTTCTAACCTAAAGGACCTATTTGCTCATCCAGTCACGTTAGTGTGTTGAAAATCCAGTTTTGAACATACACTCATTATCCCATAATTCAAACGTTAGGAAATGTAATATAAAGTATGTATTATGAAGCGTTAGGTACCCTTCACTAGCAATCTGCACGGTAAATAACCCATGAAATATTTCAACAGTTTAAGTAAAAGCAAGCACTGTATGAAATATTTCGTTTGTATTACTTAGTCCTTTAAGCCTCTCTTATTTTACTACATTAAAATTGTCTGAAGTTCTGGGTTTGCATTTTTTCATGCAATATTTGACCTTGATAGATCTCTATACGTTTCTTATAAACTTTATTTCTAGTGGTCATTACGCAGTTACATTCTAAATAATTTGGAAAGGCATCTCATGTTGCCATCTCATGACTGGTGGTCATTTTATGATGAAATGCGATATTGTAAGCTACGAACATTTTCCTTTGATTTGTAAATTGAACTATCACGATTCGTATAAGATGGTACGATGCCAGTGATGGCCCATTAATAGACGTTTTGTAATGTTATTCTAGTGCTGACATATTTCATAAAACCTGTACCGCTTGTGGTTAATTCACAAGTAGCTATGTTGATTTTTAAATGATTTCGCAAAAATGTATTCTACAATTGATGACATAGGTATTGCCTATTTCAATTAGCATTTACGAAGATATGCGAGGGGTAGAAAAAGTCAGTTTACGGTGTCAAAATGTATTTATTTTCTCTTTTTTGTAAAATAAAAAACATAAACTTAATAATAAAATAAGCTAACCTTACGATAAACTTTATACAAGATGTGATCCGAGCCCAGCGGCTAGCCACTTCACCTTCCGCAGGAGACCTGTCAGCTGCCTATGCCACTGCGACATATTTGACAGCTGCCACAGTCGGCTGCTAGTGACTGGTTAGCCGCTGGGACATGTTCACCCGTGTGCGTGCACAGTCGCAAGCGTTGGCCAAGGCGTTGGTCGGCCAGACCGACATCACCTACATTGTACGTGAAGGCCGGTCGATTCCAAAACACATTCGAGCGACTCGGGGATGTTGCGAGCGCGCCCGAATAACGTCGACCATCCGAACTTTACGTGACTTAGGCATCTAGACTCTTCTTTGTGTAATCTTTGATGTTGTTGGTCGTCTAAATGTACTTGACAAGTTCGGATAATTTAGTTAATTTAGTAAGGAGCGCCGTAGCTGCCGGAGGGGACGGCCGCGGGGTAGCCACCACCGCTGGAGTGGGAGCTGTATGACTGCTGTTCGTATTGAGCGACCTGGATTCCCTGGCGGACTCCCTCAAGCACGACTCCGACGACGCGGGCAGACGGGACACCGTAGGAAGATGAGGGCACACCGTAGGAAGATGAAGGCACACCGTAGGAGGAGGAGGGAGCTCCGTGTCCACCGTGTCCACCGTGACCGCCAGAGCCAGATGAGGCTTCTTCCTTCAGGAGGATGGAGCGGATCTGCTCAAGGAGCTGAGGGTCGACATTCTGTCCCTCGGAGGTCTGGTAGCCGGTGGAGACAGCCTGGTAGCCGCCGCTGCCACCGCTGATACCGCCGTGGAAGCTGCCGCCGCCGCCGCCGCCGGAGGGACGGTTGTAGTTGTAGCCCGAGGGGGCTTCGGCGCTGGCACACGCCACCAACGCGAGGGCTATGCACTGTGGAAAATGTACTTTATTAGTCTCCAGTCAAGATATAAATTTTGTTATAACTGTGCTGACAATACTTTAAGTGACAAGTGCGCGTGATTCATCGTTAGTACAACTGCCGATTTCAGCCTCGAAAAGAAAAGCATTTTCGCGATTACAATTCTTCAGTACTTTAGAGGAAAATTAACTTTCCTAGCTTAGCAAAGTATACGCATTAATACTAGAAAGTCTAAAGATTTACGTGACCTAGTAGTTCGCACGTGAGCACCAAAACGTGTGCGAAGAATTAAATGTGCTGAGTAAATATGAATAGCACTCTGACATTTAGTTCTATGTAATTGAATCTGAAGTAAGCACTTAGAAATTAATGTAATTACAGTTATGTTAGAGCCGTTAATTTTAATGATCTGTGGCTTGAAGGTCCACTAAATAAAACTTGATCCTTGTCAATTCATATTTAGTAAAAGTGGATAATATAAGAATCAATGCTCGTTCCAATCACAAGACAATCAAATCAAAATGATCAACTTCACACCAAAAAGTTCGATGATAATCTTTTTATTGTGAACTAGGAACAATAGTTCGGCGGAGAAAGTGAGGTCAGGTGAGAAGCAAAGGCATCGTTACATCACAAGCTGCGCTACGCTATGCTAGCGATTTATGTGAGAACATGAACTTTGACTTGCGAACAGGAAGATACCAATGCTTCGATTTATGCGTTTCATGTTTACCTTTTGCTAAGGATTAGGTGTAATGAGGTCAACTACTTTATTGCGTAAGAATTTTTAGGTATGTTGTAGAAACACACAAAGAATACCAAGGAGTCAATTTCGTAGCTTCTTATTCTGTTTGTCATGCTTTTACTGTGACGCAGTCTTAATCTATTATTTACTATCGAATTAAAATTCATTGCAACAAATAAACAACGCATTACAAGCTGGTATTGTGCAATATGATGTGCGCAAGAGTGGATTCTTCAAGTTGTTCTGTGAGCTTACCGAGGAAGGTACGCGGGTCATGTCATAGTGACCGCCTCATATTTTCTCTGAATGCTTTCTAATCCTAGATTGTTATGTGCTAGAATTCTCGTTTGCTTTACATAAAATAGTGCTTAATTTTTTTAGTGAATGGACTAGAATGTTTGAGCTGGGATTTTTATCATTTTTATTTCATAACCGTTTAAACAATATCTTCTTTTGTTATATAAACTTTTTAAAAAGTCTTTATATCTAAACTTTAAAGTCATTATATAGAGATTTCTCTAGCTGATATTGTCAATTGCACTATGACATGCTCCATTACGTCACCAGATGGCGCCACTTCCGCCGCCGGGGCACGGAGACTCCATTAGGGAAAGCTTTCGACTATGATCACAATCGTGCTTGCAGACATAATGACTTTATATTTTATTGCCAGAAATTATGGGGCTTATGTTACATAGATGATGGGTTAATTTGTCTATGTAATCGTTGTTGTAAATACCATAAAACTCCAAAGATGACTTGAAAGTTACGAATATAAAAACACTCGTATTTTCTAAGATCAAAGAGAAATGTTTGCGTAGGCAAAGCTGTAGAAAACTTAACATTGGTATTGAAATTTACGTTAATGTCTCATACTACACACGAATGAATTCTATGGCCTTAGCTCATAAAGCGTACAAAGTAAAACGACCATATTGTGAACAACATTTATGCGCATAGGTATCAAAGTTTTAGCTTCTTTACAACTCACAAAGTTATGACCATAAACTTTAATATCTAATATTTCATACACCAGTAAGACTGTCTGTTAATATCTTTAGACAGATAATAGTGATATTAATTTACATACTATTAACATTTATACGAGTAATACTGACGTGTGGTAAGCAATAGAGATTGTCTACAGGCTTGCATTATTATACCTTGCTTAATGTGTTTCTGAAATCATTGTGAACTGTGTAGTAAAATTTTTTTTGGTTTTAGCAAGTTCGAGGGAATTATTTTGCTGTTTTTTTTTGCTAATATATGATTTGTGATAGATTTTTACGACTGTGATAGAAGATTTATAAAAATAAATGTTACATTCAGTCAAAGAAAAACGAAAATCAAACCACGTAATAATCAGCGGTCTACATCTCAAATACTTTTGTTAAAACCTGCTTCGAATAATGTTAGTTACAACACAGAGTTAGTATTAGAATATTGATTTAGACCCGATTCGTGTCACACACGTAAATGGTCAGGCGAGCTGATGATGCGCTAACTTTGCATACATCTATGGCCATTTAGGAGTTACGATCTTTATAACTCATTTTAACGTGTAATCCATTAATGTTAGTTTCATTAGCCTTTATGTACCTCGTTTATGTAATCGGTACAGCCACTTACACTCATTAAAATAAGACATTTACAAATATCACTAATAAAACGTCGCTTTTAAAATTAAATTAATGACTGCAAAGATAAAGAATATTAATTAACATTAATTCATAATAGACTGACAAACAACGCATTTTTTTATTATCTAATCAACTTTTGAATCAATTAAAGTCTAAATAATTTACAACAACGTTTAGAAAGTTAATCGTTTGGAGAGAATTTTAGCAAAATAGTTTTTTAACGTCATTTTTAATAATATGTAAACGATGTTTTGTTGTTATTTTAGGATTTCTCTCTCTGTGCGATATAATCAATGGCTTTAGAAATTGAAAGTTTATGTAATTAATTTCTGATCGTTAATAATATTTGCTATTTTATAGATATGGAGGCTTTAAATTCTATATAGAATCTAATTAGATTGACTTTTACCAAAATCCATCTACCTCTTTTTATCTTTACCTCGGTTATCTGTCCTCTACTATTCCATCTTTTCCCCAGAAAGACCTATCGACACATTTATCCAACTTTGAATTTTTAGTACAAATAAACAAGGTCGTAAATATCTCTAAGAGTTTACAACTAAGCATCAGTAGCTCGACATATGACCCCTTGCCGACTCTTTGCGTAATAGTGAGGTACTATATACTCGATAATATTACCTTTGCACATGCGAATTATTATTTATGTGCTTGAACTAACGACCTGAGGATTGCACCAGGAATGGGGAACTAAGAAATAATAATTAGCTATAACACCTTTCTTCCCTTCTGGGATAGTTAAAAACATATAGTTCCTGTATCATGATTTTGACCAGGTATAAGTTGCATGTGATGGGCAGTGCTCATTTCTGTCTTCTATGTATCAGTATCCAGTTATCTTTAGGACTTTTTTAAATTGGTTAAAACAATGTTCTTTGACACCGAAGTTATTTCATGATTACTTATGGGAACAACGTTCTATTATTTCTTATATAAGGCATAGAAACTCCGGTATTCTAATGAGTATGACAAAAGTTGTGTGACAAAAACCATGAAGTTTAACACAATGGAGCGGGAAACGTGTGAAATTATTTTGAATGTATGTTTTGACAGTTGAATGGCGTCTCGTGAGCTTCAAGATTTATCATGGCGATGTTTAATTGTTTCGGAAAACTATGATGGGTATCGGACTTTCTCTGTTATTATTAATAGTTCGAAGTTGAAAGTTCGATTATGACAAGTTAATCATTTCTACAATTTACTATCATCATTTCAGATTGAAGAAGTGAAGTATATAATTTGTTATTTAAATGATTGAAAGCATGCAAAATGTTGGCAGCGCGATTAACATTTAACTTGTAATGCATCTTAAGCTTCCAAAATTCGTGATCCTTATCGATAATCGACGCTAGCGCTGGCGGTAGTCAAGCAAAGAAGCTATTAAGATCAGACTCAGATTACGATCGTGGTGTGAATACTAAGTGTAAGGCACTGTATTGAGGTCCTTTGATAAAATCACTTTTAATTTGACTGAACACTAAACGGCAAAGATCACAAACTAATGACTTTTTAATTTCTGACAACATAAAACACGATCGTAATCCAATTCCAAATCACGTTAAAGTTCGGAAATCAACATGAGTGCATTAGGTCGAATCACATTCCATTTTTAAAATAACACACGCGATTCCCGATGCACTATTTGATTTCGGAACGACACGGCACTTGTCACTTTTATTTTTTTTTTGTTTTCACAAGCACGGGCACTGCACTGGACTTACCGCTACGAAGGCTTTCATGATGTTTAGTGATGGGTCACTTCGGAACGTAGTGAAGTAGTGTGATGTTGGTGGATGGTGCCTGGTGATATATAGTAAACTATGGCCGCGGTGGGGCGGAGAAAGGATAGTTCAAGTTGTGTAAGCACGGGAGATGCTACCATCCGAATAGGAAGTTTCGGTTAATTGGAGGGCGTCATGCGATTTTTTTAAGATATTTTTTTCGTTGATTGATATGTGAGGTCAAGGGTTTTGAGTTAGGTTATGTTTCGATGTTTATGTTTAAGCTTTTGCTGTAGATATTTTACGATGCTAGCGTTGGATTTTAGTACCTCACAAATTGTAGTAATACTAAGAGGTAATATCTTTTTTATTAGTTTGCTTGACGTGGTAAGAATTAATTGAAGTTCACCTTTACTTTTGGTTGTTATGATTTTAGCAATCTATGTTAAATGATTGTAGATCAGGTTGACTACGTGGGACTTTGGAGCATTGAAAACGAAAACCTATGCATGGTAAAATACTTCAAATTAAAACAGTATGTGTAATTTGGTAGTCGTTAGTTTTGAGAAAACAGCCGTAGTATCATAATTACGATTCGTATTCATGCAGAATTTTATTAGACTAATTAGAAATTAGTACCAAACTGAGTTTAGATATATTTTACTTAGTCCCACAACACCTGAAACAAAACTACATTACTCTAGTCAGTGCAATAGAAATTCATGCAAATCACATTATTTTGATGTATGCAAACGAATATTTACTGTTCCAAAGTAAATAGGTGACAGGCGAGTAAAAGTCATTTCCATCTTAAAGGCAGCTGTGAGTCATATCTGTGTTTACTAAGACAACGGCGTAACACCAGTGTTAATTGTTCGACAAAGACCATAAACATGGTGTCACATCGTAAAACTGACTAGTCACTTAATGTAATATATTTTATGTAGTATTTTATGTATTGAATGGCTCTTTGATTTTTAGAAAACCTTTAATAATCGCACATGGTCTGGAATTAGTCGTGGTGGCCCCTAGGTTTAAGACGCCCGCTTCTCATGCATGAGGATGCGGGTTCGAAATCTACTAATGGCAAGTACTAATGTGACTTTTTCCGAGTTATATGTACTTTATAAGATAGGCACTACTGACAAATGGTGAAGGAAAAACATCGTGAGGAAAACTTCTAATTTTAAGTTTGAAATCGCCAACCCGCATTGACCAAGCGTGGTGATTAATACTCAAACCTTGGTCTTTGGTCTGGTGGCTACTTACAGGCTGTTGATGTGATGTGATGTATCTGGAATTATGTCTGGTAGATGCCAATAGACCTAGTCCTAGGTAAGTATATTCTATCTTAAAAAGCCGGTAACGCACTGGTGACCCTTTCGGTGTTACGCGTATCCATGGGTGGCGCTGATCGATTGTTAGCGATCAACGCCACCCATGGCTTCCGGCCTTCTTATCTCATAAAAAATGGGTGCTACATGGAAACGTGTAGCTCTCCCTCCTCACTCTTCATGGATTAAGAAGTGCGACGTTATCCTTGGTCTAAATACATTGATTTTGTCGTTTGATACATTTATTTTTTTGAGGGGGGAAATTGTCCAATTGCTTCTTGTGCTTTGGACGAGGCGAGATGGAGTGTCAGACTCTTACTGATTAAAAACTGCCCCGTTCCTACTTCTGCTCTTTGAGCCGGATCCCCGGCAACCCGTGAAGTCCCCCACGGCTCTTGGCTTCCTTTTTCTTTTTTATCATTCTTGAATGGCAATAGACCCGCTACTATTATAAAAGTATGTAAAGGTTCGATGATATATACCTGTTATGTACGCCTATATAGGTATGCCTATTGTTCAAGATTAAATTCGAACAGATTCGGTCGATTTGACCTTGCTATTGACAAGAATGCGTTACTGTTTTTTTATTACGTATTCTGACATAAACTGACACATTGGCATCAAAATTAACATATTTTTCAAAAACCAAGTAACGGAATTCAAAAAATTTAAATCAATTATGTAAAACGAACGCGTTTGTAGAGCAATAAATTAGCAAAATGCATTTTTGCCAAAAAAAAAATGCCTCTTCTATGAATAAAATATTGATCTTTGTTTTAAGTATATCACATTTTTGACCCCTTGCCCGGCAGTCGCACTTGCGACCACTTGGCCAGCAACGCCGTCATATTGTTAGTTATTGTTACTTTTAAAAAAAACTCATACAGTCGCTGAAGAAAGTTCTACAAGAAGATAAGTAGAGAATTCGTGATCTGAGACTGTTAAAAATTCTGACTGTTAAAATATATTAATTAAAAGATAGCTTTTTCTGACAGCCAAATGACCAAGGAAAATAAATAGCCATTTAAGAAAGATTATGATATTTAATGTTTAGTAAAAAATTTCGTGGCGCAAAGCAATTTCTCTCCATTCCATCCTTTTACTAAAACATTGATATTAACTGACTAGATTGTGAAATTCTAGACCCCCTAATAGTATTAAAATTTAAATTAATTCACGTTTACCTCCGTTCTGTGTATACCTACGTGGCTATTTAAATACTAGTTTTAATTTGAATTTTGTAAATGTTATAATTTTCAACTTTTACTTTCATTTCTATTATGCGGTGTTTTAGATAACTTAATGGATAGAACACGTGTTTTTGATAATATACGCTGTTGAGGAGATGCTATTCTCTGTATGGTTGGCAGTGGTTTGCGATAGAGCTATAGATCGAGCTCAGTGGCGTACTATTTCGGAGTTTTAGTAGTCGATGGGTTCGGACTGATAATATTGATGATGATAATGACTGTTATTCTATATACAGGTATACATACATATATTGAAGTTCTCGTGTTATTGGTCACATTTATTTAACTTGTCCTGACTTATTTAGCTATTAGTTTATGATAATCAAGTACGGGGTTTAAGTTTCGATTTCTGAAATTATACAAGATAGTGCGGAGTTTAAATTATATCCAATATTTAACAAATGACGTTGTATTAGAATGAGATCAAATCACAATGAAAGTGAGTGCATACCTCTACTATAACTAACTATATCTTAGCTTAACCGGTGCGACATCACGTTTATGAAAGACACAGAAGCCTCACAATACAAAGAGGCTTCATCTATACAAATTCAGTTAACTAAACAGTGGCCCTGCATACACTGCATAGGTTAATAAGTCCACGTCGAACTGAAGAGAAAACCGACAGACATAAGATTGAATTTATCTTGTGCAATATTGGCAAACAGCACAGCAACCTACCCTAATCCTTTAACCCTCTTCAATGGAATTTCAACCTTATAACTTTGTAATAATGTTGAGAATCTATTGAGAGTATAAGGCTGTACCTTCTTTAAGATAATTAGTGTCTAATGAGCACCTGGACATAAATATGCGATCCGAGGACTGTGACGAGGTCGAGTCGTCTCGCATGTGTTAAGTACGCAAGTCGTGACTAACTGATGTTTTTCTTCTAAAGCTACATGTTAATCTGTGTTACAGTTTGTTTGTATATGGACTTATCTTAGCAGTGATATATTTTTTCAGTAAATTAGGACTATATTAAATTATTATTAGAAGGTATAGGGGTGGGGTTAGTTTAGTGATTGATGCCTTGAAGGTCACTTGCGTTGATGTCTTTTGTACTGTTAATGATAAAAAATAATTATATATTTTTATTCAGTTAAAACAGTTCGCGAAGGAGGCCTTTTACGTGTCGAAGTTTTTAAATTATTTAGATATGTCTGATATTTTCACATCATTACTTTGAGAAGAACTTAATGAATTTTTTTTTAAGAATGTATTATTTAATCTGTGCATACCTAACGTATCCTGCGTTTATATCTATATCGCTTTTGTTTTTATTTTTTGTTCTGGTGGCTGACTTTTTTGTGTAATCTACAGGAAATGGACCTTAACATGTCTTTCAGAGACCACTTAGGTGGATATTTTTATGTACCTAAAAATAGCTAAGTGCCTTTATAATTATCGGGCTACGATCCGTGATTCCTCGCGGTCTGCATTCAATCGATCCTTATAAGTTCATATATCAAACTTTTACTAAGAAACTACATCCAATTAGAGCAGCACTCCTTATTTGGGTAGTGAACTGACCAGTTGATGCTTCATCGCCATATTATATAGAGTCGTGTCGATTATTGAATCGAGACGATTTGATCATTATCGATACTAATACAATAAAGCTAACCTCTTCGTTTGTTTGTATAAAAGTGTGTTTGCGGCAGCTGTGCGACTGATCAGGGGTTTGATATTTGACCCAGAATTTGATTGAATTTTTGTAAGGTTTTATTTTTCGAATTTTTAGCTACGACTACCCTTTTCTGTAACTACCCATGCGGCGTAATCTTTTTGTGTTATGTTTAATGATGACACTATTTGAAGTCAGGTTTTTTTAGAAGAGTTTCGGTTGCCTTTGGGCGGCGCCAATTGCTATCAGGTGATCAGTCTGCTCGTTAATCGGCTTATTCCATAAAAAAGACCAACATAGTGCTAGTTATGACCAAAAAAAATTAGACTTGTACTTTGATTGTTAATCCATCGATATTTATAGAAGTCGCGTGATTTACCAAATATGAGATTAAATAAAATAATATTTTCCTAATTCACACAAGTAACGTGCGAATTTTAGCATATACTATGAAAATACATATTATGTTACATAATTCTTTAGTATTTTCTAAGAATCCGGACTTTATTTAGTAGAAATAATATTTGTTCAGTCAAAACGCTGATTATCATTTGAGATCCTATTAACCACAATGAAAGGCACTTTCATAGACTTATGTATTACGCAAGATGTCTACGTGACTTCTTATATATACTCAAATTAGTATGTTAGCTTACTATATAGACATCTTGACGGAAATCATAAAAAACGACGGATGTCTTATCAATTAAGGGGGATATCGATTATATCTTAACTTTCTAGGAATATCTATTGATGACAAGATGAAGTTAGAATGTAAAAGAAATAAGTTTCATATCATATCATTCCTGTAGAATATTTAATTTTGTGTTTCAACATGTTTACC